GTGGGATATTCGAGTTTCTGAGCAGGAAGTGAAACATGAGCATTTCAAAATTATTTTATTTTTTCTAATGAAGAACTCTTAAACAACTTTTCGCTTTTTGGGATGTTAATTCTTTTATTAAACCCTTCTAAATTTTTGGCAATTTTAAGATCTGTTTCTATAGAAAATTTTTAATTCGGAGATCTAGGATATTTTCGACATTTTTTTTTTAGAACATTGTAAATTTCAGCCATTTATTATGTGGAAAATAAGCAAGGTATAATGCTATAAAAAGCACCATTTATGAAAACAGTTCTGAGCAAAAGCAAACTAGCTATGTAATTAATAAAAATGTAATAAAGATTCATGGTAAGAGCTTTTCTTATGTAATTGTCTGAGAATATTCAGAATTCTCAAAATATACATCAGTTTTCTCCAGAGCTTAAACTGCACCAGAGCAGGGCTAGGGTGCAATTTAAGCTCTGGAAGAACAATGAAAACATTATAGTTGAATGTTTTACTTCTGATACTGGAATCGTTTCTGAAAATTTTAATCTTCTCTTTATTTTCTATACTTTTCACTAGACACAAACATAGAAAATATCAAAAATGCTTCTAATCTTATCATATGAACAGGCATTATAGAAAGGAATTCTTTCATTAATAAAGATATTGAGAACTGAAAATTTAAAAGATTCATCTAATATGTCTTAATGCATCACACACACTGGCACTAGGCATTTTCCCATATGATGCAGTCTCTGTGAATCGTAAATTCTGCTGCCTGGTGCCTTTCTAAATTCTGCTTCCAATGCCTGTTCTAAGTTATAAAAGTTTTGCCATTTCTGGACTTTATCACTCAGTGTGTCACTAAATTCTAAAAATGATGCCACATCAGCTCTCTAACCGAAGCTTGCCATATATATTTCATATTTCTTCTAAATGTTCATATTACTAAATAAAATTAGCAGCTTTTTCTATGCATTCTAAATGCATTTAGTTTATTTAGAATATCATAAATCTTTAATTAACTCCAAAAATTCTAAAATGAAGAGAAAACATGGAAGAAGAAACTGAATACCTAACGAAAAACAAATTTATTCTTCAAAGATATGTACAGTTATTATTATGTAAATTACCCAATTGTTTACAATTTCAGCCCTTACTATAATTTCTCTTTTCTATTTTCTCACCAGAATGCAAATCCCGTAGACAGTTTTTAAACCGAGATTTTTGGAGTGTAAGACAAGAGTGTGTTTCTGACCTCCACTTGCTCACTGCATTAGTTCCTCACCGCTCTGATAATTTGTAATTATTAGTCTTGGATTATCGTTGGCAACATTTGAGTTTGTTATGATAATAGAGAGTTATTGAGCCAGTCTTAAAATCAAATTAAATTGTATAGTCTTTGACCACTAATTCATATTTTTAGTTTGAATTTGACTTTTCTTGTTTCATTACATCACTACGAGATTTAATTGATTTTGTTAGCATAAGAACATGCCTTTATTTTTGAAGTTCTTTTTAAATAAGAATCTTATTTAAACTTTTGCAACTTTTGTCAGACTTGTCAGACATAGCGATAATTTGCTTCATATCTGTTGGGTGTTTTGGACTATTTAACTTTTACCAGATCAAATAAACTTTCATAGGTACATTGTGGACAGGTTGACAGGTTAGGAGATAAAACACGCAGAAATTAGTGAGAGCATTCTTTTGTGTATTGAGATAAATTCCTAATTGTTAAAAATGTGCTTAAAGAGGAGGAAATCGATATAAATTAACCAAAAATGTCTGGGAAGGCTTCAGATTAAAAAGATGCATAACTATTTTGTTGAGTATTGCTACGTACTACAAAACACAAATGTTTTACGTGAAATCCGAATATCGTTTAAGAATCAATGTCATAAATTAGATGTATTTTAAATTGTAAAATTTTATTAGATTGGGCTTTTAATAGAGCTAAAAAAATAAAATTTAATAATGACCATGCAAATCCATAATGACTAACGTTATCTTGTACCTAATTTAATTACTTATAACTGCTTACTGCTTGCCCTTAAAATTTATCTCTGCATATTAAAGCGAGTTATTGCCTTTCATTAACCCTTACTGTAGTCACAAGATAAAACACAAAAATGTAAAATTTATTCTTCGCATTTAGTGAGACTTAAAATAATGTAAAACAGTGTATCACCTCTGGTGCTTTAGTGGCTTATTAGAATCTTAAAGTATATTAACTGAGTCACAACCCCTGCAGGTAAGCAGTAGCAGTGACAACAGCCAGTCTTTTGTTGTTCATCATGCTGATTATGATTTTACCTCTCATTTTAACCTATGCCGCTTGACATAAAATCTGCTTACTATTTACTAAAGCTTTAGACTGAGCAAGTATGTGACAAAATAAGGTATAAAATAAAATCAACATAAAACTAACTGTTAGTAAAACTTAAATAAAATTCACTTATCTCCTTTTAAATGTGTTCAATTCTTATAAGTGTAAAATATATAATGCTCCTTGATAAATTTCATATATTTTATTCTCAGACTTAATAATAATTATGTTAATTAAGTCATGTTTAATAATAATGCATCCTACTTATGGATCTATTTTAATTTTAGGATGGTATTACAAAAGTGAAGTTCAGGCATAGATAATATTTTGAATTGAATTTATTCAGTTCCCATTCGCTCATAGGTCCTTAATTTTTTTCATTAATGGTCCTTAAAAGTACTTAATTTCCGTGCCCAGAAATGTGTATGAACCCTGTAGTCATATGGAATGGATCATTTTCATGGAGCAAATGAAATTCTCAACTCTACATTCCATAGCTTTTCTATGTAAATTCATAAGTGGAAAAAGTCAGGGCATCTGTTTTGCAGAGAACTTGCTAATGTAGCATATGCAAAATAATTATTTTAAAGATGCAACTGTAGTTTTGTCTATGTTTCCATAATGAGGATTATCTTCAGTGCATTCTCATCTCATGCAGAATTGTTTTGTCCATTCTGAATCCATGTTTTGATCATCTTAGAATATGAAAAAGAGAACTCTCCGTAAATACTATCTGAATGTTATTTTATTATAATTGAGGTCTTTAATAAAAAATTTAATGACTGCATATTATTCTGTTTTAAACAATTTGGTAAACAGTTTTTTTGAATAGGAGGTTGAAAGCTTTTGTATCTTGCTATGTGCTCTTATTATCCATATAGCTTGGGAAGTTACCATTTGACGTTACAAAACATCTTTGCTTTGCTTTTAAAATTTAAACTGCACTTAACTAATCAATTAAAATATAATAATATTCCATAATAATTTATACCTTTTTATTTTTAATAATATATTTAATTGATATAGTTTTTAATTAACAAAATTTCTAGTGTAATTAGTTAATAAAGATTGTAGTAATTAATGTTTACACTATTAGTGGTTTCCATTCATCTGCAAAATCCTAGGAATTCAGGGAAAATTTAATTTGTCAAAAGGTCAATCGGAATGCTTTTTACAAATATCAGTGCAGGTAAAAGAAAATGTATAAATCAGGCCTGTCAAATGATAAAAGCTTGTTTTAAATGCTACTCAGTAAACAAAAATGTTATTTTAAGAAAATATACTGCCCGCTTCTTTATTCTTTTAAGAAAATATGCTATTCGCCTCATATCTGATATACAGGGTGAATCTGAGAAAGTGATCAAAACTTTACGGGGTGGTAGAACACAGTTATACAAGCGATATTCATCATAGAAAGTCTAAGCAGAATTCAAGAGATGAGCCACTAGATTACATTATAAATGGTATAAAAAGGATTAGTGCTCATACCCAATGACATTTTCTACCGTGAATTGCTGAGAGGATTTATGAAATTTCCAAGGCGATGGATTGCTCGAGAGGGTTCCATAGCTTGGCCACCAAGATCACTGGATCTCTCATATTTGGACTTTTACATGTGGTGCCATATGAAAAGTCTAATCTACGATTGTCCCATTGAAACCAATATGGATCTAGTTGCCAGTATCGCTGCTGTTGTGGGTGATACTCGGAAAATACCTGGTGTCTTCGCAAATGTGCGCCAATTCCTGTCGTGCAGGTATAAAGCCTGCATTACAGCTGGCAGAATGTCTTTCGAGCAATTTTTTTAAGCATGTACTTCAATTAATAAAATGTTTTATAAAGTATCTCCTCTCAATCTGGTGTTAATTCTTTAAATGTGACAGTGAAAAACTACCTATTAGCTTCTCACTGCTTGTTCCGACCGTACATTCTATGACAAATATTGCTCATATAGCTGCGTTCTGTCACCCTGTAAAGTTTCGCCCACTTTTTCAGATTCACCCTGTAATTTCATCAATCCATAGTTCTGTTGTTCATCTGTTTGTGAACAGAATGTTCTTCCATTTAGAAATATAACTCTGTATATATAACACGACAAATATAACTATAAAAATGTATAATGTAGTTCGAAAGTCGCTGTCTGGTTGTAAATTATAATACTATTTATTGGAATAATTATGACATTTTTTTTTTCAGTCTGATATTTTGAGCCACTCAGTTTTATTTTTAAATACCAGAAAAGTAATATTTATTACAAACGAATTCATGTTATGAATTTCTTTTTGAGAATGGTAATTTTTTTCTACAGAGTTTGATATATTTCTTTTTAAAGACCCTATTTACTTTTTTAAATAGTTTAAATGCATATTTACTTCACAACAGTAAATGTGATCAATTCAATTTTATTAATATTCTTAGTATTTATATTACTATAGTAGTAGCATTGTATTACATAGTAAATTCATAAGCACATCAAATTATTCAGTTACTTAATTCAGTAAGTAGTTCATTATGTTAGAGACATTTTTCATTTAATTCTTGCAAGATCAGAGAAATTGAAAATTAAATTTTACTGTGAATCCAGAATATTACTACATTAAATAAAAGATTGATTTTAATGTCAAGTGTTATATATCTAAATGTAGGGGCACTATATGTAAATAATATAGATGATTTTTCTTATTAGGTATTCATTCACCGTAGATTAAATCATGAGCGTATAATCAAATATTATGGCCATCGTGTCGAAGGTGACGAACATTTTATATTTATGGAATATGCTTCAGGAGGTGAATTGTTTGATAAAGTAGGTAAGTGTTGGTTTTTTTTTTTTTTTTTCTCCATTTCATGAACATTTTTTGAAGTGTTCACAAATTTGGCCAGTGTAACTGCTTATTCATACTTTATATAAATTCTTACGTTTTTTTTTATAACATAACCATTATTTTAATTTCTTATTCTTAACTGTACTATTATATATCTATCAGAGCTACTAACTCTGCCAGTATAATCGCAAGACTTCTGATTTTTCATCACATCTTTCAGTTTCCTAGTAAATTGCAAAATCTAGTTTTTAATTTATCTGAATTTAAATCATCTGTTTCAAATGTAAACCGAAAAGAAATATTTATCTTTAAATGTACAAGGAAAAGAAAATGTCCTGAAAAATTTTTTGAAGATTTTCTTAATTATGTGATTCTTTTTTAAGTGATTTTTTAGAGTTATTTTTATGATTCATTTTTATAAAATCTGAAATGCTGTAATATGTACTTGGCATAAATAGAACATTTAACTAATACTTAATTACTAAACATTTGTTTTAAAATTTTTAAATTATATATTAATAATTTTATCCACAAGGTTATATGCATGTTAATTATTAATTTTACTTTTAACATGCCTAAATGTAACTGCTGGCCATTAAAACTGCAACACCAGGAAGGAATGATCTGACCAATATAAAAATTACATGAAAGGAAGAAGAGGTTGGGATATGCAAATGATTAGTATTTCAGCCCATTTAGGTGACACAGGTAGGGAGAGATGACATCTGAAGTTCTGCATAAAAGAAAAGTTCTGTATTGGATTTCTCATTTGAAAAGGACTTTATAAGGTCAGAGTTTGCTCAGAGTATCATGGTTTGTCGCGAATAATAATAAGAAATGTTTACTGGCAAATGTCAGAATGTGATAGAGGCAGGATCGTTGCCTATCGAGAGTGTGGATTATCATTCCGTGATATCGCACTGGTCAACATCCAGCCGCTGTCATGCAGGTATGGAATCAGTGGGTTGCTGAGGGTCATATTGAATGGCATGCAGAATCTCAACGCCCTCCTATGACTAACGCTGAGAGGACAGACATATTCTGAGGTCAGTCTTGCGAAACCATACAATCACATCATGGACCATTAGTCAGGTAATGTGCATGTTTGCAGCACGCCTAGTATCCTGTCATATGGTGCGTTGATGTTTGCAGCCTCGTGGACTATATACAAAACAACCATTACTACAGCTTCCATTGACAATGCAGCATAGAGAGAGATGGCGACTCCGCTGTGCCGAATGACAAGGCTGGTTGCAGGAATGGCACAATGTCGTCTTTTCAGATGAGTCCCGGTTCTATGGGCAGTATTCTGATGGTCGTATACAAATCTGGATGCTCCGAGGAGACTGCACATTGCTTTCTTGCATTTGATATTGGCCTAGGGGTCCTGCACCTCGTGTAATGGTTTATGCAGCCATTGGATGCACAATACGCACATCCCTAGTTCGATTGGCGGTAATTTGAACGCAATTCAGTACATTTCTGACATCTTATGTTCATTGGTTGGGCACTATCTTAGAGGCCTGCCAAAAGCCATGTTCCAATATAAGATAATGCAAGATCACATGTTGCACATCGTGTTATGACCTACACGATACGCAGGATATTTGATTGCTGTCCTGGCCTGCATGGTCTCCAGATCTGTCACCCATCGAAAACATCTAATCATGGGTTGCTGAGAAACTGGCCCACTCTTCTCCAGCTAATATGGTTGATAAAATGCGGTATAGATTTGAAGCAGTATGGAATGAGTTGCCCGTTTCTGTCATCGAAGCCCAGTTCAACTCCATGCGTTAAACGGGTAAGGGCCATTTTAGGTGGCAAGGGTGTTTCTACTAAATTCGCACCCCTGTAAATCACCTAACTATTTACAAATTTAATCATTTTATCTTCACGCTCTAGTGTTTATGTACAATAAATATCTTTTTTGTATTTGCTTTCCTTCATGGTGTTGCAATTTTAATGGCCAGCAGTGTATTTTGATGAATAAAAATTTTTTAACCCTTCATAAGCTTTTATCATGACAAAATTTTTTAAAAGAATTAATAAAACAAAATTTGCTAATAATTGTGGAGTAAGATTTAATTTATTATTCTAAATTTTAATTTATTTTGTATCAAAATCATGTTATATATAACTAACTAATTTAACAACTCAAATTATGCACTTGATTGTATGTCAAATTTGAGAATTTGGAGTCCTTTCGAAATCACTTTTTTACCACATGATGGCAGAAACCTCCTAGTTTTTTGTATTTTAAAGTGAGTAGCTGTGGTATATAAATAATAGCTCTTTGCATGATAGAAAAAATGATTTTCTTTTGATTTTATTCAATGTGTCTTAGTATATTATTAAAATTATAACTATATATGATTTGAAATATTCTGCAGAACCAGATGTTGGTATGCCTCATTCAAAAGCTCAAAAGTATTTTCTGCAGATTACGGAAGGCGTTGTAAGTTAATAATTTTCATTTTTATTTTGTGTAGGTACTAATTATTATTTGTTTAGTTAATAATAAATTTGCTGACATCAAATTAATTGTTTGTTAATTGTTGAAGGTAAAAATTTAATGTTTTTTACCTAAAAGTACTTAGCATTACTTAATTTATTACTGGTTTCTGTTGTCTTCTCCATGTATTTCTCGAGAGAATGATTGCCAGAGCCTTAAGGATGTTGGACTTCAACTTCCACCCTAATTTTTAACGAGAGCACGGCGGGAGCTGTCCCTCTCTCCTACCACCAAACCACATGAAAGGACTTTTGGCTTGCCATATGTTTAGAGTGCTCCCAAGCCGCAAAGACATTATAAATTTACCAATATCTATGGCTTCCCAGGATTCAAACCTGGACACTTCAGTACCACAGTAGGCTTCCTTAACCACTATACCATCTGGGCAGCATTATTGTTTTTTGACAGAACTTTTTTTCGTTCATATATGTTCATTTCATAACTTCATTTTATGGGTTAGATTGGTTCTTTGACATTTATATGTGTTTTGTGTGTTTTTCTTGATGAGAATTCTTTGTTTTTAATGCAGCACCAGTGATCACATTAAATTATCTCTTGTTGATCAAGTGCACTATACTACGAAACCCATACTCTGAACCAGTAGCTTTTAAAGTATTTTCACTATAATAAAGACAAAGTTATCTGTGATTAGTTATTTCTTTGTTGACTTTTTAAAATTTATTGAATAAAAAAAATAATTAATTAGGATCTGATTTATGTATGGGCAAACAGGAGATAATTTTTTCTCAGTTTTTTAGGTTTTAAAAATATGAAATTAGAATGTAGGCCAAAGTTTTAAATTATATATTTTGGTTTTTTATGCCTTTCTTTCAAAAATAAAACAGAACCCTGTTTTATTATTATTTTTGGCCCTGTTTTATTATTATTTTATTTAAGGAAGACTAAGACCTAGTTTAAAATGTATAAGCTTAATATTTTACATAACACATAATGACCTGAAGCCAAAAACATAACACATTTGAAAAAAGTAAAATATAATTTAAGTAACTTTAAATGAAAAAATATGGTAGTTATGTATTATCCCATTGACTATAACTATTGCCATGCAGCATGATTAAAAGCCAATTGTGGATAAGTATGAAGTTAAAACACTTTCATTACATCTACATTTTCATTTGATATCACTTAATTCATTCTCAGTAAGCCTTATTTTATTTTTATGAACATGGATATAAATTAACTGTTACTGCATATTTATTTTTTTGCATTTTTAAATGCATGTGTTGGAGGGCTATAGAATCATATTTGTGATTGCATTCTAAATCATTAATGGTTAGTTGAAAAAATTGACATCTATTGAATGAAGCTTTATGTGGCCAACAAAACAGTAACCGATTGGAATAATCAACTAGAAGGTAATTCAGGCACATACTGAATAGAGCTACTGATAAAATCGAAGGGTCTAACAAAGTCATAGAAATTTATGAAAGCCTTTTTATGAAGCATAGAAAGGAAGTGGGTTAAATACTTTCATTTAAATACTTTCATAGCAGTGGCTGTTTGGTAGATTGGGCAGAGGGACTAATGACTGTTTTATTGTAAGAGCTGGAGACCGAATTGCAGTTCAGTATTTGACTGGAACAACTGGCACAACTTTGGTGGGATTTTCACCATCTTTTATGATTTGGTGGTAGCCAGCTTTTACAATTGACAGGATATTTAGGTACTGAAAATATTTTATTCTTTTTAATTATTAAAAAGGCACTTAATAATAGATGATTAGGCTAATTCATGAAATATTTTATAGAATTCACATTAAGGATGTCTACAGCAATGATAATGATTAGAAGAGTTTCTGTCCCTTTCCTCTTTTTCTGTATATCGGGCCCTGTAACAGATACTAAAATTCATTTGTTTATTAAGAACTCTTGTATTTAATTCTTAAAAAATTGTTAAGTTGCCGTTAAATCATAGCTGATGGAAGATTTATCATGTAATTAGCTATACTATCCAGTTCCATCTGAACAACTGTGATAGCACTTTTTGCATCTAATGGTTCTGTGAGACTAAAGGTGCATCCAAGAGATAATAAGAGGTTTCGTTAACAATAACAACATTTATTTGCAAGAAAATATATGAAGATTTCAATCAATTAGAGATATATTATTAGGCATCTCTGCCTTCCACGTCTTACACCTTTAGTATCCTGCCTGCCACTGACTATTAGGACGAATGCAGCGCCCTCTAGTCAGAATGACTCCGGAAATACGTAATGCTCCCCACCTGAACTCACTTGAGTTCATTTACCATTGAATTTTAACTAAATTTACATTCAGGAACCATTTAAAATTACAAGAATAAAAATATAAGTAGCATATTATATCAAATACAAAGCTTCAAAATTATTCAGTGACTTAACATACAAAAACCAATTACACTTTTAACTTCCAAAGAAAATTGTTCAAATATCAAGCCTTAACATATAAGCACAATTAAGCTATCATTAATACACAGATAGAACATTAACAGGTTGCAACTCAATTAAACTAACACAATTAAGGATTAATTTCCAAATTATACACAAGTTGTACTGAGCGTCTTATTTGTCCTTTAGGAGTCTGAATAAGAAGAGAACGAACTTTTCCATCTCTTCCTGGATATAGCTCTAAAATTTTTCCCATCATCCACATATTTCTGGAATAACGCTCATCATTAATCAAAACAATATCATTCACTTTAAATGAAACTATATTACCTGGTTGTGGAGAAATAAAAGCTGATCTTAGATTAAGTAAATATTCCTTTCTCCACCTGTTCCAGAAGTGATTCAAAAGTGTTTGCTGATATTTATATTTCTTTACCATAGAATTCTTATTAACATTTAAATTTTCATTTTTATGTTTTATTACAGGTAAAGACACCAACCTTTTACCAATAAGAAAATGAGATGGGGTGAGTGGAGAGGGTTCGTGAGGGTTTGTACAGATACGTGATAGGACCTGGAATTAACCAGAGCTTCAATTTCCGATAAAAACAGTTTCCAATTCCTTCAAAGAAAGAGGATCGTCCAACAATTTTCTTTAAGCAGGTTTTAACCGTTCATATCTGTCTCTCCCAGAAACCTCCCCACCATCCCCACCATGGACTTTTTCAACTATAAAATTCCAAACTATACCTTTAGAAGCAAACAAATTTTTAACTTGATCATTATCTATCTGATTCCACCATTTTTTCAATTCACCATTTGCTTTTTTAAAAGCTTTGGCGTTATCAGAATATATAGTGGAACATAATCCTCGACGAGAAACAAATCGTCGGAATCCTAACAAAAAAGAATCAGCACTTATGTTAAGAACTACTTCTAAGTGGATAGCTCTTGTTACTGCACTGCACAGCTGAATATAAGTAAATAACACTTTGAATTAAAATCACGAACAAAAAATGGTCCGGCAAAATCCACACCGCATACATCAAATGGTGGATGCTCTTGAATTCTATCAGGCGGTAAAGGGGCAACCACCTGCATTCCAGATTTCACTCTTGAATCGTCTACAAATCAGACAGTTATTTAACACTTTTTTCACAAATTGACGACCTTTAACAATCCAGAATTGTTCTCGTAAATGTGTTAAAGTTGCATCAACACCTAAATGGCACATTTTAGTATGAGAATCACAGATAAGTAGTTCAACAAATTTATCATTAGATGGAAGAAGCCAAGGATGTTTGGCTCGCATATCGTTACTTGAAAACTGTAAACGTCCCTTTAAACAAAGTAAGTTATTATCATCAAGTTCAGGATTCAAATTAAATATGCGTGAACTCTTATCGATAGTTCCTTTAGAAAGAAGTTGGGTAACTTCTGTACTATAATGTTTGAATTGAGTAGCTTTGATCCAAAAACGCAAAGCTTGCTCGAGTTCTGGAGCACATATAGGTCCATTTAATTTTGTAGAATTAGGTTTAGAATTGTGCACAAACCTTTTAATCCAAGCAGTAACACGCAGTAATCTACTTAATTCGCTGAAGTCATTAACGTCCAGTAACGACGACATAGGTAAGTTTCCATTAGCTGAACTGGTTACCATGGAATTAACCAGTGCAGTCCGTCGCTCTTTCACTATAACGCGTTCATCACAGATGTCATTAAAATGTTGTAGCGATTCTTGAAGAGGCCACGAGTAAAGTGGTTTAGACAACCAAACAGGGCCTGACCACCACAGAGAACTTGTAAGAATCCTCCTAGCCGATTCTCCTCTAGTAGTAAGGTCCGCGGCATTATCGGAGCCACTGCAATGGTTCCAACACTCTGGTAGAGTCAGCGACTGCACTTGAGCTACTCTGTTGGCGACAAATGGTTTCCATTGTTTAGAAGATCCTTTCTACCAATGAAGGACGATTTGAGAGTCGCTCCAAAAGAAAATTTGTTTCGCGAAATTAGGAAATAGAGCTTGTAAATAATCTCCTAAACGTGCAGCGAGGAGAGCTGCCATTAACTCTAATCTTGCAAGAGTCAACGTTTTTAAAGGAGCAACTTTACTTTTTGACATTATAAAGCTCATTTTGATTTGGCCATTGTAATTCACGTACCTTAGGAACGCAACAGCCCCATATGCCTTGGGACTGGCGTCACAAAACACATGAAGAGAAACTTCACTTATTTCTACACTTTCAAAAAACCTTCTTTCAATAGACACTGATTCAAGTTCACAAAGTTCAGAACACCAGGTTTTCCATTTATTTTGTAGGTCATTTGGCAAATCTTCATCTCATTGTAGACCACGTTCCCACATCTCTTGCAGAAGAATTTTCACAGTGATTACAAAGGGACTAATCAGTCCACATGGATCATATATCTTTGAAATAACTCTCAAAACATGACGCTTGGTGATTCTAGCATCAATTGAATTTCTAACATCTCTTAAATCTAATTTAATTTTATCCTCAATCGGATCCCACTTCAATCCCAAGAAACCTGTTCC